CAAGATGGCCGCTCGCCACGTGGTTGGTAGCAGAACGACGGCCACCTAAGAAAGCAATTAACTACCGATTGCAACAATGTCGCAATCCGTCAATTGGAGCCACATGACCCTCTGTGTGTGTGCTCTGGTTCGGTACTTGGTTCGTTTCACGAACAGCCGGTAAAGTTGCTGTTCGTGAAACAACCATGGGAATGCTAGCTGCTTTCGGCTGCTAGCATACGAATGCTATAGGTTATACAGGCAATCATACATTTCCACACAGTAAGCAGAATACATTTAAACCTTGTAGTGCAGCAGTGTTCCGGACAACCTTTAAAGTCACAGCCATATAATCTGAAGTGGCTAGGTTTGCCACACTGGCGATATCATCGTTGTAATGCATTTTACTGTTTTGAAACACTAATATTTGTGTTCAGCGAAGTCTCCCGAGCACAAATATTAGTGTTTCAAAACCGTAAAATGTATTGTAACGATGATATCGCCAGTAAAAGTTAAATTTTTTGCATTTTTCACGCACAAACAGCACTTACATGGACGATATTACTGCTGCGATACTTTTTACTGTTTTGAAACACAAATATTTGTGTTCAGCGAAGTCTCCCGAGTACAACAGTACCCCTCATGTACAGGTTTTATGGTGTTTTCAAAAGTTACAGCGTCAAATATAAGGCTTGTGTTTCATTTTTTTCACATTAAAAATTGCCACATTGGTTAGGTTGCCTTGGAGACCCTATGGTAGCCCAAGAATGAAAATTACCCCTATGATGGTATACCATTTGCAAAAGAAGACAACCGAAGGTATTGCAAATGGGGTATGTCCAGTCTTTTTTAGTAGCCACTTAGTCACAAACACTGGGCAAAAATGGCGTTTTTTGCATTTTTCACACACAAACAAATACTAACGCTAACTTTGGCCAGTGTTTGTGACCAAATGGCTACTAAAAAAGACTGGAAATACCCCATTTGTAATACCTTCGGTTGTCTACTATTACAAATGGTATGCCATTATGGGTGTAAATTTCATTCCTGGGCTACTATACAGACTCAAAGGCAACATAACCTACCTGGTGAATTTCAATTTAAAATGTAACGTGCTATATTTGACCCAGTAACTTCCCAAAACGCCATAAAACCTGTACATAGGGGGTACTATTTTACAAGTGAGACTTTGTTGAATACAAATATGTGTATTTTATTGCAGTAAAAGCAAACAGTATTATGACATTGACAGTTAAAATGTCATGTAGAACTAAAAAAATAAAAAAAAAATCTTTTCTCCCATTTTTTTCATATTAAATTATGTTTCACAGCTAAATATTTGATATTAAATGAAAGCCCTGTTTCCCATGAATAAAATGATATATAATAAGGGTGGGTGCATTTACTATGAAAGAGGTGAATTACGGTTGGACAAACATGTAGCGCAAATGCCAGGTTTTGTTTACATTTTGTTTTGTACACAACGTGTACATTTGGCTCCGTCCTTAAGTGGTTAACATGTCAAACGTGCAGCTCGCTGGGCTGCAAAGATTTTCTTTTACATGCTTTTTCTTGTACCATCGTCAGGGAGATCGTGCAAAAGGTAGAGCAGTCGTGATAGGAAGGAATGTCCCTGGGGTATTACTCTCATTGCGAAAGTCAGTGAACCTATCAGTGATTGGATTTCCCTCCTGTTGTACGACAAGCATTGACATACTCTATAATCCTGCTTACTTTTTATACCAGTGGGAAAAGCAACCAGACCCATGTGAAAACCTGCCAGAAACCCAATGCTCAAAAGCTCAACTAAGTGCCTGGAAGTGTGATTTGAGATCCATCAAAACGTAAATCTTTATAGTCACTGGGATAGTCACTGCTTGAGAGTGTGTTTGGGCACATTTTTTTAGCAAAAAGCTCTAAAACACCTCAAACATATGTGAAGCAGTCTGCAAGCACTATACCCACAACCTCCTGCATTAAAGTTATTACAAACTTGCGCCTTGCCCAGAAACATCATAGGCTGTGGTTTTTGTGGTGGCTCGTAAGTATATTGTAACACTGCTTGACTCGTGAATTTTACGCTAACATCGTTAGGGCAAAGGTTGGTGGCATGCGAAGCAGAAGACCTTGAGGCCCGCGAAGTGCCTGCAAAACAATTTAGCATCAAGTTGGCTCCACTCCGTATGGACATTAAACTGGGCCAAGGCAGCTGCAGCCTTCGCAGAAAAAGTGGTAGTCAAAATAAACAAACCTGCCGTACTTATGCATACTTATGACTAATAGGTTACGACTTGGCCTATAGGTTTGAGTCTGTAATAGAAAGTAAACTGAAATCATAATGATGCCCCCTCGGCAGAAATGTCATAAGGGTAATTACTAAACCTAAAATAAACCTACTAGATAGTGATTTGCCAGAATAGACAGTCAGCTTCTAACGGAAGCCTTGAAAAGTGAAGCCTCATAGGCCTAGAATAGATTGAGGATGAAAATAGCATAAAAAATGATTAAATTACCTGGAATTATCTGACTTGAGCTGCCAGCACTGAGAGAGTTAACTTGCAGTTTTAGAAGCAAAGCCATTTTGCAACAACAGAAATGACAGTGTATCTACTTATTGAAGCTGAAACATTGTATAGAAAGTGACTTAGCAAGCATAAATATTTTCTCCAGGACACTCATGGTTTCCCTAGCAGAATCGTGGAGAGCAACGCACCCCCCCACCACCCCACATAGCCACTGACTGTATATAACATTTGGTAACATTGTTCCAATTAAAATAGCCTATAACCGATTAGGCACAAACGTACGCACTTTTGAAACAAAACGATTTTCTCTGATGGAAACTGACTCTACGGATGCGCAGGAGAAAGGTGACCGATAATTAACACCCCCTGTTACCGGAATGAGGCGCAACAATTCTCCCCAGCAGTAAGCTGACAATCTGCGCTAAGCAGGTAAGTGAGGGCCAGAACACTGGATGCCCTCGTGTCTCCTGGCAGCTGTAGCCAACCAAAATCAGCCACAGTGGTGAAGGGGATCAGAGACCCACGCTACTTTCCCATGAGGATTACCTGACAACCGGCAATTACTGGAACAACTTAACAACTGCAATGAGAACCTAGTAGCCGCAATACACCCTTTCACCACATGCTGATGCTACAGGTAATGGAAGGGGTTTAGTGGGTTTTTATCCCATTGTTACAGTGCTATATAATTTGCTGGCGCTATATAAATAATAAAATAATAATAATAGGGACTAAATCCCTCCCACAATTCCAGATTTCCCACCTTCTATATATAGAAGGTGGGAAATCTGGAATTGTGGGAGGGATTTCCACTGAACAGCGGTCTCCTGGCTTGTCGGGAACAGAAGCAGGCAGCGGTACAAAGTTACCGGTGTTCACAAGTCACAGTGCCGATCTTGGAGTTCCAGACACTTGATGACCAAAGACAGATGGCCGCAGTTTTCCAGAGCACGTGTTCAATTCGTTGGCACCAATTCGTGCCAATCAGCACTCAGGGAGGAGAGGAGGTTCGCCACCCAATCAGAAAAAAGGGTGTGAAACCCTGTTTGAACGGGCGCTCCTGCTCTGATTATTCACCGGCTCCTTGCAGCGATCAATCAGCACTCCCTCAGGCTGACCAACCAGGAGAATGGTGCGTACCAAGTTTGAATGGGCGCTCCTTCTCCCATTGGTAGGCACAGACTTCCACACGGCCTCCTGGGCCCTGTGGCCGTGAGACCGACTCACAGACCCAGGGATTCCCTGTTGGCGCGTGTCCCTTTCTCGGGTGGATATCCCTATGCTGGTATCCACCCAAGAGAGCATTTTCCTGGGCAGCCAGGAGCCCAGGAGCCTAGGCTCGTAGCTCCCAGGTAGGGGTGTAAGGAGTGATTGTAGAGTGGGTAGGATGATTGAAGACAGTGTGTGCAGGCCGGTTCAGGATGCGAATGCTTCCCCTGGTGAGCTTTCGGTGATGTGAACCGGCGGCCACCCAGCGGAAGCAGGCGCCACTTGTTTCCCTTGCGATCTGCGGTTTTCACGCCTCGTTAGCAAGTTGCGAACATTCTAACCACACATTCTAAACTTTCAAAATTACAGAGAGGGGGAAAATTAAAAAGGGAAAAATACATTTCAGTACATCCACACATAGGAAAGGGCAATTCAGAGTCAAGCAGCGGTCCTGCCACAGGGTGTTACACTTTATTCAGCCAATCATGGATTGGCACAGTATTCTTTGCAAACCAAGCAATTCTAACACATCACATACAATTGAAGATTATGCTAGCGCATAATCTTAATTTTAATAATGACAGGAGGCGAGTATTTTGCATATCTCTCTTTACTAAACTCCACAGCAGTAAAGAAAGTAAACGTTTAACCAATCAAAATGCAATAGGGAGTAAGGTATTCCCTCCAAATAGGCTCCTCCTCCTCTTTCATAAGCGACATCGTAACAGAGAAAATTATAGTAACGAAACATAGAGAAAAAGGTCATCCAAAACATCTGGAAGGTATAACGCTGGAAGATCCAGTGGTATAACGTTCAAACTGTAAATACGGTCAAGGGTGAGAGTGTTCGACATTAGGCGGTCCTCCTGGAGCGTAGTTGTCTGGGTAGTTTGCCAGGATAGCACCCGAAACTCCAGAAGCTGGTGAAGTTAAACTGAAACGAGAGTGTGAAATGGGTTAGACTCTGGCCTCTTACTGGTTGTAACAATTATCGTGACCCCGCAATGATATTAACAACATATGTGCAAATGAGAGGCACACTAAAACAGATACTGTCCCTGACCCATTTAGAGGAAGTGTAGAGACAGATGTGAGATAAGGATGAGGAACAAACGACATGCTGTATAGAAGAACACGGTTCCCTCTTCCCAGGGTGGGAAGGGAGGGAAAATACTCGCCTCCTGTCATTATTAAAATTAAGATTATAAATACACTGCGCTAGCATAATCTTCAATTTTATCACATGACAGGAGACTTCCTATTTTGCATTTTTAACGCTGAAGTAGGAGTGACATGGCCACATTAGAGTTCGGCCGAAAGTAAAAGGTGCGAAACGTGGATTCTCTCGACCAGTGTGCGGAACGTAGGATGTCCACTAGTGAGGCCCCTGCTGCGAAGGCTGAGGATGCTGCAGCTCCTTGTACTGAGTGGGCCCCGAAGGAAGCGTCCACGCCTGCTAGTGAGAGTATCCAGTGGACCCATCTGGCGAGTGTAGTAGTAGTGATGGGGACGTGTGGTCGAACATATGACACGAGGAGTTGGCCCGAAGGTGGAGTCCGAATAGGAAGTGTAACTTCTACATAGCGTCGTAGGGTGGCTACAACACATAGTTGTGGATTGGAGTTGAAGAAGGGGTAGAAAACTGTTGAAGAGTCGGATTTCGTGCGACGAGATATGTGGAATGTGACTCCCTCCGGGGAGACCGAGAATGCATCCACGTCAAATGCCCGGACGTCCGATACCCTGCGGAAGGACACCAGGCAGAGCAGAATCGTTAGTTTTGCTGAGAGTTGTCGGAGTGAGAGTCTATCGTTGGTCGGCGAATTCCTCAGGAAGCGTAGGACTATTTCGACATTCCAGAGTCGGGAATATTTAGGTTCAGGGGGTCGTTGTAGGCGAATGCCCCTGAGAAGTTGACATATCAACGGGTCCTCCCCCACTGGGACCCCAGCACTAGGGACGTGGGCCGCTGAGATAGCGGTGCGGACCACGTTGATAGATCTGTAAGAACGTCCTGTTGAAAAAAGATGGGTTAGATAGTTTAAAATGGAGGGAATAGCGTCCGTAAATGGATAGAGGTTCCGTTCCATGCACCAATCGGACCAGGAATTCCAAGCGGACAGGTAGGATGAGTCCCATAGGAGGTCCTTAGCAGCCTGCAATAGTTCGCCGACTTGCCAGGCACCCCGGAAAGAGTCCAAGCCACCAGGTTGAGACGATTGGCCAGGATCAATGGGTGAGGGCTCCCTTTCGGATCTCTGAGAGTATATTGGTGTGAAGGTAGCAGTGGGGGATCCCGGTAAGATAGGGCTAAGAGGTCTGGAAACCATGGTTGTCCTGTCCATAGGGGTGTGATAAGAAGGAGGGATATTCGTTGTCGTCTCAGGTAATGTATGGTCCATGCTATCATGGCGAATGGGGGAAAGGCATATGCCCCCATGGTCGGCCATGGTTGAAGGAACGCATCTGTTGCTTTGCTCTCCGGATCCGGGAGCCAATTGAAATACAGGGAGTGCAGAATTATTAGGCAAATGAGTATTTTGACCACATCATCCTCTTTATGCATGTTGTCTTACTCCAAGCTGTATAGGCTCGAAAGCCTACTACCAATTAAGCATATTAGGTGATGTGCATCTCTGTAATGAGAAGGGGTGTGGTCTAATGACATCAACACCCTATATCAGGTGTACATAATTATTAGGCAACTTCCTTTCCTTTGGCAAAATGGATCAAAAGAAGGACTTGACAGGCTCAGAAAAGTCAAAAATAATGAGATATCTTGCAGAGGGATGCAGCACTCTTAAAATTGCAAAGCTTCTGAAGCATGATCATCGAACAATCAAGCGTTTCATTCAAAATAGTCAACAGGGTCGCAAGAAGCGTGTGGAAAAACCAAGGCGCAAAATAACTGCCCATGAACTGAGAAAAGTCAAGCGTGCAGCTGCCACGATGCCACTTGCCACCAGTTTGGCCATATTTCAGAGCTGCAACATCACTGGAGTGCCCAAAAGCACAAGGTGTGCAATACTCAGAGACATGGCCAAGGTAAGAAAGGCTGAAAGACGACCACCACTGAACAAGACACACAAGCTGAAACGTCAAGACTGGGCCAAGAAATATCTCAAGACTGATTTTTCTAAGGTTTTATGGACTGATGAAATGAGAGTGAGTCTTGATGGGCCAGATGGATGGGCCCGTGGCTGGATTGGTAAAGGGCAGGGAGCTCCAGTCCGACAGAATCCATGGATGGCAGGCTTTTGAGTGTCCTTGCAAAGAAAGGTGGCTATATTGGTCACTGATTTGTTTTTGTTTTGTTTTTGAATGTCAGAAATATATATTTGTGAATGTTGAGATGTTATATTGGTTTCACTGGTAATAATAAATAATTGAAATGGGTATATATTTTGTTTTTTGTTAAGTTGCCTAATAATTATGCACAGTAATAGTCACCTGCACACACAGATATCCCCCTAACATAGCTATAACTAAAAACAAACTAAAAACTACTTCCAAAAATATTCAGCTTTGATATTAACCCCTTAAGGACACAACTTCTGGAATAAAAGGGAATCATGACGGAATATTTCCGTCATGTGTCCTTAAGGGGTTAATGAGTTTTTTGGGTTCATTGAGAACATGGTTGTTGTTCAATAATAAAATTAATCCTCAAAAATACAACTTGCCTAATAATTCTGCACTCCCTGTATGTCTGTGTTTGCCTGTTGTTGCGAGATGCGAAGAGGTCTAGGTGAAATGGGCCCCGATGTTGTTGTAGACCTTGGAAAATTTGGGGATCCAGTTTCCAGTCGCTGACGTCCCTCCAGTGGCGTGAGAACCAGTCCGCTGTGAGGTTGGTTTCCCCCGGGAGATACTCCGCTGTGAGGGAGATGTTGCGGGGTAAGCAGAAGTCGAAAATCTCCTTCGTTATTTCTGACATGATGCGTGACCATGGGCGTCCACAGTAATTTTTCCAGGGGGGGGCATAATTGTAATGACATCCATGCTTGGTACCTTTTTGATAGTGTCATGAAAGGGAAGGGGCATAGCCATTATCACATTAAGCCAGGGTGAATAGCGTTTTCACAACTATGGTGTCAGGAATATAGGTTTGTATTCCTGACACTATAGTGTTCCTTTAAGCAAATTAAAGGACATTTCTGGTCACCATAACAACTTCACCTAAATGAAAATGCTAATATGCCTGGAAGCCCCTGGGTGCTCGCTTTCCTTTAATCGCTCTCAAATGGTTTAAGCCCAAAGGCTTCCTCCAGCTCCAGGTCGCTCAGTGGTATTTGGCTTCTGAAACAGAGTGTCAGGAAGTGCAGATTGACGTCAGGCATGGGTGCCGCTGATTGGCTACAGTGGTCAGTTGACGCTCTAAGCCAATCGCTAGTTCCCGGTTTATAAAATATTTTAAATTTTTTATGAATGGGGAGCTACTGATTGGTTTAGAGTGCCAGCTGACCGCTCTAGCCAATCAGCAACACCCCTACCCAACGGCACTCTGTGCTTCCTGACACTCAGTAAATAAAAGTGAACACATTAATACTGATATTTTTTTACCTTTGGAGATGAGAAGGTCCAGCGTTTCCCTGCCAG